ACCCTTATGACTGGTTTTGTGGTCCAGGGTCACATTTGTGCTTCATACTCCAGGCAAGTCTTAGTGTTCAGATAATACTAATAGTAATAATACATTTAGATCGACTGACAAGAGGAATATAATTTTATTTTAAATGATTAAGGTCAGGTTTATTGTCTTTTTTTTTGTGTAGCATGGCATTGTGGCAGATAACATTTTTCTGACAGTTTCTCACCTTTTCTTGTTTGGATTACTGGTAATGCGGCAGATCTTGCTGTTTCATTGTTCTCCTGGTAGTACAAGAGGAAACTGCTGCTGCTTGATTGACACTTCAGCTCATCTGTAGAAGCTGTTGCTCGGAAAGACAGTGTAGTTGTTTTGAGTGAAAAGGCAGTTGGGTTCGCAGAAGTAGTGGTTTTTAAAATGGAGGTGTCTTGTATTGGAGGGCTGGTGTTTTTTTCTTGCATGGATATGTTCAGATCTGGACATTTGCTGTTGTCTGGTGGGAGGTAGCAATAAAACAGTCTCTGGTCGTTTTGGGGTCCTGTGTATAGATCAGTGTTGTTGAGAAACGCAAACTCACTAATGTTCCATCCAGAGAGATTGCCTGCCTTCATTGTCAGTAGCACCATCACATGCTCTTCTATGAAACGTACAACATGCACACAGTTATTACTGTAGACAACAAACAGTAATATTCAAACATGAAATCATAATAAACAACTATCTCACCTGACTGTGAGGTATTGTGGTGAAGCTGCAGATCCATTTCAGTCTTACACAGATACCAGCCTTCAGAACGTGTGTGTTGACTGCTGGCATTTATCATTTCTGTCACACATGGAGGGTCAGATGGAGCACACACCTGTGCATCATTCTCAGGTGTGCAATGGTCAAAGGGCTCACAGAGAAACTCAATTTGTGATATTTCTGAGAACCAAAAAAAAGAGATGCTCTTAAGATTTGAATTTTAAAGTTAAAACACATTCTGTTTAAAATACAATATAATAGAGCAAAGAAAAGGAAAATCCTTTTTAAACCCATGTGCCCAACATTTAAACCCATGTGTCAAGTTCTTAACAAATGTACTTTGTATTCATGCTATGGTTTTGACCTTTTTTATAGCATTTTTTATTTTTTATTTAATGACTCTAAAAATGTAATGTGGTGTAAAATGTATTATTTTCGCTAATATTCTTTGCTTCTTTCTCTCTGCATATTTACAGAATGTTTCTGATCACACCAATACTTTAATTTTGTGGACAAAAGTTTGTCAAATACTAATAAGCAGTATATATATTTTTTAATAAATATAATTTTTTTGTTATAATATTTTTAAACAATTAATACAAAATAATAAATTAAAAACAATATTAAAACATTATTCCTATAACTAGCTATATTTTCTTTTTCAGTAATTTAATTCCTTGAGGCTTAAAAAAAAAAAAAAAAAGATTTCAGGACAGTTGTATCACCCTGATATTTCTGTTTATTTTTTCTAATTTTAATTAGAAAATTAAAAACACGTTTGTCATAGTAGAGGTGTATTCAAGTCACTGTATGTATGAATTTTTACATTTCTTTTTTATAATTTTTTAATGAGATCATTGACCTATCTATCATCTGACATCCTTTGTTTGCCTAGCAGTATTAAAAACAACACATCACCTACAAGCTCCACAAACACTAAAAGAAAAGGTTTTTAAGTTTTTAAATATTTTTTATATTAATACCTCCTGTTTTCTCAAACACCAGAGTGCTTTTCTGTTGATGTTAGTAAGTTAGAGTGACATTTCCTTTACAACACAACACACCAACTTAACATAGCTTGTATCAAAAGCTATGTTAAAAGGTCTGAAACATTGAAAACAAATGTATTGGTATATGCTATGTGTGTATTTGTGACACACACACACACACACACACACACACACACGCACACGCACACACACACTTATTGGTTTTTAACCTCTTACCATTTCATGTCCAGACCACATTGATATAGTCACTGGAGTGAATGCCAACTGTTTTATCCCAATTTAAACTTTGACATAAAGAAGGTAACATTGCACATATACCTCATCGTGTATCTCTAAAAGACATGGACAACACTGATGTTTCATGCTGTCAATCATAAAACCATTTAACACGCTTTGCTCTGATCGAAACGTACGTGCTCTCACAAACCCACACCGCTGCCACATTTCCCTCACTCATGCTTGCCCGAAGAGAAGACCCCAAGCCATCTTACTCCACTCTTTTTACTTACTTGGAAAAAACTCTGGTAGACACAGGATGAAGGTGAGAAAGAAGAGGATGCTGAGTTTGAAGGCACCTGATCTTGTCATGGTAAAAGACAGTGTGACAGAAGCTCCTCTGTAAGGTCACCTAACCTCTGAACTTGCTGACCCCACATTGGAAATCTCACACAATCTCACACCTCACCTTCGGCTTTTTCAATTCCACTTTTAGTTTAAAATAATCCTACGTATTTAACATATAGACTTTTTTAGCATTTCTCCTTCATGACTAACACGACTAAGTCTTGATTACATAGATGAAATGCTTTACCACTTCCTGTCTGTCTTCCTGTTTTGTGTAATTTTGAAAACAGAAAGAGCAAAGAAAGACATTTCAGGTTGTTAATGTGTTTGCTTGTCTCATAAGGATTCAAATAATTTTAGACATTATTTATATGGTTATTTTAGTTGTATTATATTATTATATTATATTATATTATATTATATTAGTGTTTTCCCATTTGTTTTTGTCAACAGAACCACAACTTGGTGCTGAATTACTGCATTATTGACATCATATGTGGTCAAAGAGTAAAAAAAAAAGACTGATGTTATGCTGGATGTCATAGCATTTTTATTAATTTAAGTGTCCATAATTAAAATGATTCACTTATAAAGTAAAGTCAATACAATGAGTTAAAAATCAGACTTACCAAGCAGCTGCTGCTCACATACATATATATATGAACAATATCACACGCATTGCAGTGCCGTGCAGATATACAGCTATATCGCACTGCTACGAGTGTGCTATTGCGTTTATACAACAGTTCAACTGTTCAAATACATAAGAAACAACAACGGAGTGTCTTTAAAAGCCCTCTTTTGTGCAAATTACTTCCTTCCACCACAGATTCAAATCTCAAGTTGACAGTTTAACAGCTGAGCCCAAGCCACCGTTACTAATTAGAAAACGTCACTTTACAATGCATAACAAAGGAATGATGAGTTGCTTCATTGAAAGCTTATTGTAGCAATGTATTAAAAGATAACTGTATTATGTGGAGTAGAGTATTATGAGAGAGAGATGGACTGGTGAGTGTGATTACCTGCATCTGATATAGCATTCATTCTTCAGCTCATATTCACAATAAAACATTAGTTTGAATGTCTGTTGAGGAAAACGATATCTTTGTCGTATTATCCTTTTATCTGTAAGGGTGATTTTTTTATGACAATGCTTCTCAGTGCATTTGTTGACTGCGTCTTACAAGGTGTTGTTGAAAGTAAAAACATCTGATGCCCTGGAGCTCAAATCTCCAAAATCGTTGAAGCAAATTTTCAAATAGACATTGTCTTTATTAACAAACCACATATTTGAAGTCTAAACAAGTACATTCTTGCCTAGAAAGCTCTTAAAACAACATTCCGTGACACAAAAACAGTATTATTTATAAAATTATACAGTGGATTTGGGCATCTGCCATGACACTCGCTGTGAAAAATACCACAAGTGGAGTGAAACATATAAATGGTTGGAGTTCTGTTATCATTAGAATATCGCACTCCTCTCAGCCAATCAGATTCAAGGACCAGAAAGAACTGTTGAATGAATAAATAAATAAAATAAATAAATATCTTACATGCTATTAATTAAAAAAAAAAAATGTTATTAGCAAGTTGATCTATGATTTATTTTTTTAATCTGTTGACAGCCCCAAAATTTTGTTAGGTTTTAACTGGTTTAACAAAGCAAAACCAAAATCTTTCCAGGTACCCTCTGATGCACAGTACACATACATAAACACTTGGCAGAATGAGTGCGCAAGGCTGTGTGTGATAGAGCCTGAAGGACATTCCCGCTGCAAAGCACACAGGTTTGATCAGGGACAGGAGCATCCAGTTATCAGGGCAGAAGGAAGGTTCTCATCAGGACCCACACTGGGATTAGGAGAGCCCTCAGCACCAAGCACCTTATCAGCATCATTCAGTGAGCTCACTGTAGTGGACTACTGCTGCATTTAAACCCCTTAGGCAGTATTTGAACTTACTGTTAAAATTCACACCAAAACATGAGGAAAACACTATACCATTCAAAAGATTGGTTTTTAAATGTTTTTAGAAAAAGCCTAATGCTCGCAAAGTCTGCATTTATTTGATAAAAAACAGAGTAAATGATAGTAATATTGTAAAATATTATTACAATTGAAAATAACTATTTGTATTTATATTAAATGTAAATAATTCCTTTGATGCCAAAGCTGAATTTGCAGCAGCCATACTTCAGTCTTCAGTGTCACATGATCCTTCAGAAATTATTCTAATATCTGCTCAAGAAACATTTCATTACTATCAGTGTTGAAAACAGTTGGGTTTTTGTAACATTATGTCTTTACCATAACTTGGTTCATTAAACTAATATCTAATTAAACTAATAATTCATTTAATACATCCTTGCTGAATTAAAAAAAATCACACTGACCTTTTCACAATGAAAGAAAAAAATTAATGCACAGCAACTTGTTAAAGGATTAGTATCAAATATCAAAGTTACTATAGCGGTTAACCTGTGCTTTTCCACCAAATTATGAACCTGACAACCAATATAGCATGTGAAAACTTTAAAACTTTAATATTCAATATTTTATGTCTGAAAACACTATTATTATTACATAAGTAACATTGTGCTGTTCGGGCCTTTGTCAAAAAGAGAATTAGATGTTTTATATCTGTCACTCAGGAGCGCCACACAATCAGTGTAATATGAGTTGGTGCTTCTTGCTCACTGTGTATTGAGTTCAGCTCTTGTGACCTATATTAGAAACCTGTGTAATGTATTCATGATGGATCATGATTTTTACTCATTTGCTTTCACTTCACTTTCAAATGGATGGATGATGATACTCCTCCCTCTGTCACCCATAATGATCTCAATTGCTGCATCTACAGTATGAATGCATTATGCATGTGATGTGTCATGAGAAATGGAGTGTTTTTATTTATTTACTTTTTTTTGTTTGATTTTTAACAGTTCTAAGAAAATCTTTGAAATTGCCTATATTAAAACTACATTTAGTCTGGATAACCATCTGTACGATATCCACTAGGTGGAGACACTGTCTTTCACCCCCTAAAAGTGCAGTAAAGATAAGAAGATTAATTATTGGTGTGGTATGATTATTGAACAGTCGCGAGCTCCTTCACATTATTTATGAACTGTTTTGTCGCACAATAACACGTGCAACTTTTAAAAAGTGCAACTTTTGTATTAATATGGACAATCATAAGTAAACCCATACAAAATAAAGTACCTCCCCTTAAATAAAGTTATGTGAGGTGAAAGTCCACGTTTTAAAGCGAGAGTTAAGATATTTTTTGCATATTTCGTGAACAAATTCTATTTAAAAACACACTGCTACAGCTTTGAGGGCTAGTCTTTACTCCACGCCTTTTCATCCAAAAGTGAATCACGCGATTATAATCAGAGTTTAAAGAGCCCTGCTCTGTTCAACTACTAAATGTGCAGTTTACATCTGAAATAAGCGATAAGAGCAGCTATTAACCCGCCAGGTAAAGGTAAGAGAGCTCATTTCACGCGCTGTGATGTGAGGTTATTTTGGTTGACCGCTGCTGAAGCCCTTTAGAAATACGTGTAGCTACAAGTTCGCAGACACTTATGCGGTAAAAGGGAAATGAATCAGCCCATAAACGCTTTTAAAACGCGGACTCATTCAGCAGCAAAGCACGGGGTTCAGACTGGCCTGCGAGTGCCGATAGTTTTGATAGATAGAATCGATAACTTGCATGATGAACGAACTAAAAGTTGTTTCATATGCACGATGAATATTTCCTGCTTGGTCCGGCTATTCTGGCAAAGGAAGTAGGCTATAGAGAGGTGGGTTTTGTTGATTTACTTAACAGGAAACTAAAGTGTTTTGGAAAGTGTATTCGTAAAAACATATTTATCGTAAACAGTCTTGCGCATATGTGCAGACTACACAATGGCAGGCAAACAAATTTATCACAATAGAGCGAGCATGCAGCACAAGTACATGCACGTCAACAGCTTAAGTATTTGAGCTATTTTCGAATTTTATAGAAGTATTTATTTAAAAATGGGAACATAGTTTAATCTGTTTTCGTATGATTGAAATCCATGGATTCGTGAAGACATGAGGCAAATCTTCTGTTTGTTAAGCTGTGGATTTCTTGGTAAATATTTTTCTAGTTAGATGTTATAAATAGAGGTATAAAGTCTAGGGTATTTGTTACTAAGAATTCATGTATACATTCAGGTTCTCAGTGTACAGATTTCAGGTGGATTGATTCGAGCAGGAGATGAGGAAAAGAAAATAGATGCTTACATTCCCTACCAGATACACCCACAGAAGCCCAGGTTTCCAGAGCCCTGTGTTTGTATTTTTAATTAGTGTCTGACTATGACCCAGCACTAAAGATAGAACAGAGAGAGCAGAGAAACAACGAGAATGGAGATGTGCAGCATGTCCTTGCATTTGTTAGTTTTTTGTCCTTTAGTCTGTTCCCCTTGTTTAAGCAGCAGTGATTCTCCTCATGTGTTGGTATACAGGCTGTGCACTGCTAAAAAACTAAATTGTTCAAGTGTTTTTTTTTTTACACATTAGTGGTGGGTATATAGCTAAGTCACCATGAAATTAAAATGGACATATTTTAATAGAATATTGCAGTGCTTAATATAAATGATTTACACATTTTATGTGTCCTCGTAATTTGCTGCATCCCAATTCACATACTATCTGCCCTAAATAGTATTCGTACTTCATAGTATGTTGAAATGAGTATCCCAGAGGTACCTGGATGGTTTACTACAGTATTTCCAATGAAAATTTAAAGTGAAGATCCAGGCACACATGTACTCTGATGGTGAGCATTACCCACAACCCTTTGCTTGTTGGACAAAATTTGGTTAGAACTACAAATGCAAATAACAAGCGTTGAAAAATGACAGACATGGTGGATATGCAAGACTGATGGTTAAGTAGAGTTTTAGATGAAGGGGTTTGATGAAAAATATTTGTTTAGTGTTATCCACATTTCATCTGCAACAACATTGTGAGCTTTTATGAAGATACATGTGGTCATTAACTTTTAACACATGAGGAGAGTTCTTCACACAACTGGCATATCAACATGCTACTTAAAGGGGTCATATGATGTTGCTAAAAAGAACATTATTTTGTGTATTTGGTGTAATGAAATGTGTTTATGCAGTTTAAAGTAAAAAAATCACTTTATTTTCCACATACTGTACATTATTGTTTCTCCTATATGCCCCACCTTTCTGAAACGCGTCGATCTTACAGTCTGTGAGTCAGAACAGCCAGCATTGTAGTGTACTCTCACAGGATCAGGAAACAGTCCTCCATAAAATGCGCTGCACACATCTGAATATTTGGGTTGAACTGTTCTGGAACAGTGTTGTAAATACAACTTAACCACTGATTTCGAGTCCTGTCCTCTTTTGGAAGACTAAACTAAGTAGTTTCGCTTTCATAATGAAACACACAGCGTCACACACGGCGGGCTAGAGTGAGCGGAGGCGGGTGGGCTTGAGTGAGGAACGGCGGGCGGGCTAGAGTGAGCGGCGGTCGGTGGGCTTGAGAATGGCTTGCGGCAACCACATGTGACGACCCTGGGCTGGACTCCGCTTTGGGCGGTCATATGCAAATCTTCCCACATCGTGATGTAGACATGTGGGGGCATGTTTAAACGAGCCGTTTTAGGTAGGCGTGGTTGACTCTTAACTTTTATAAAGAATATCTCTTTGGATTTGAGACTTTAGTCTTTGCAACTTTACAGATCTTCTTTATGTACCAAGAGCTTGTAACACTCCAAAGAGAAAGGAAAAATTTAAATTGCATCATATGACCCCTTTAATTTCTCTCCAGTATTGTAGGAAATTAAATGAAATGTGGAGGATGTTAATTGTGACAAGATGATTGACTGGGCAGTTTAAATGATGATGGGAACAGAGTGGTGCGTTAAAGACGCTATTATAACGAAGTACTACTGTATGCCCTAAAGTTTGCCTACTATTCTGCTTCACACTCAAAGACTTTACATATTTCAAGATGGTGCACTTGTATTACTATGAATGTAAGAGAGTGCAATGAACAATATGGTGGAGTAAGTCCCGTCTTCTGAATAAATCGACAATTAGTAAAAGTCTTTGTGTCACTGCAGCTGCATGCTAAGTTATTGTCGGATTTTGTTGCTAATTTGAAATTTGTTATTTAAATGTGAGTGTGTCAAGCAATTTTTGAGATTTCAGGAGTTCCCCATTCAAGTAGATAAGACTTGATCTTGGGTGCTCAAAATAGTTGCCTGGAAGCATTACAAATGGCCACAGGGTTAACAGACTTTGAAGGAGACTTTTGCCCTGTCCTTTATTTTTCCTTTATTTCGAGAAGCTATTTCACTCATATATATATATATCACAATAGGGAAGAAAAGATTATTTCAACTTCAGTTTCATGTTGGCATTATTAAGCTAAGTCACTTTTTTCTGAATCTGTTCACCAAGAAGATTCATTCAGATTTGTTCACTGATTTATAGAATTTGCAACAACTCACAATTATCTTTTCATTTCATGTACTCTGGAGCGTAAACAGGCTTCGATAATTTTTTTTCAGTGACCTTCTCTGCAGGAAACATTGGTACTCCAGTACATTTGTATGTTATGAGTGAGTTAGTGAATCATTCATTCAACTGATTCTTTAAAAAAACACTTTCATACATTGAATGTTAGATTCAGTTGATCTCATGTTCAGTTGATCATGAACAAGATGTTTTATTTGTTGATTTTTGTTTATGAAAGAGATGTTTTATTCAGCCATTGGCAGGATTACTTCCACACTTTAACAGTTCAGGGACTGAACCCTAGATCAATCTTAACAAATTACGTAAAAGTCAGTGCTCTAAAAAATTCTCTGATTCCAACCTTGTGGCAAAAGTTTGGGAAGGAGCCCCTTTCTGTTCCAGCATGACAATGCCCCTGTGCATAGAGAGGTCCATGGTGTAATCAGTCTGGAGTAGAACCTTGACTAGTCCACACAAAGCCCAGAGCTGGACCTCACTGAACACCTTTGGGATGATTTGGAATGCAGACTGCAAGCCAAGGCCCATCAGCCAACATCAGTGCTTGTCTTTACTGTGTGTGAATTGGAACAAATCCCCGCTGCCATGTTCCAACATAGCGGAAAGCCTTTACAGAGAAGTGGAAGTTCTAGCAGTTAAGGAAAGAAGAACTTCTTATTAATGCCATTGGTTTTGAAATTCAATGTCAAGCATATGGGCACAATGTTTGGGTGTCCACATACTTATAACTAGGGCTGGACAATAATTCAATATCAGTATGTATCGCGATATAATTTTTTTCAATAACGGTGATATGATTTTATCGGAATTATATTGTATCGACCGAAATTAAGAAATATGTCGTGATATCAATTTTGGCCATATCGTCCAGCCCTACTTATAACCGTATGTTAATAGTAATCTAGTCTTTCAAACTGTTCTCCTATCATCCTCTGAGATCCTCAGGATTTGTTAATTTCTCACTGTGTCTGTCTGTGAAAAGAGACATTAATAAGTCATAGCAGATGAATTATGGATTGACGTGAATTCAGCCTTGGAAGTTCTATATAAAGAAAGGACTGCTGGATTATTACATCATTGCGAAATGTGTTTGTAGAACATGTGCATTGAAGACATGTGCATGTAAAAATTGCCATTACTCCAGTCTTCAATGTCACATAATCTTCAGAAAATAATTTTAATATGCTAATTTGAAGCTCAGGAAACATTCCTTTCAAGGATTCTTTGATAATTAGAAAGTTCAAAAGAGCAGGATTTGTTTGAAATTAAATCTTTTGTAACATTATACTGTAAATGTCTTTACTGTACTGACCTCGAACATTTGAATGATAATGTATTTCTTAACCTCTTAGATATAGTTTCTGAAGCAATATTAATTTTGTTGTCCTTATTAACAGGCTACAGCCTCCACACTGCATGCATAAGCACCGTAGTGTTGTGGCACTGGAAAAGATATATTTTGGAGAAGCTGAAAGTCCGAAAAAGCTGTGATGTGTAAGAGTTATCTCGTCATAACTTAAACTAACAGCTCCTGCTCTACTAGTTTCCTGCTGATCCAGTACGGCTGCAGCTAACACTGGACAGATGTGCAGCCATTATGGTTCATATTTTCCTCCATGACAGCTCATGACTAATCTGTCCCAGCGGGCTCTGCTCTGCACCGTGTTACATACAAAATGCTAGCTAATGTATGCGCTATTGTTCGGCACAAATTGCCAGTTTCAGTGCTTCCTGTTCAGACACGCTGTCGCATTCATGGTAATATTTTGGTTAGCTAAGGCATTGTTCCCCAAAGTTTAGCTTCCATCTTTGAAGTGGAAAGCAGTTTGTATGTAGTTTTAACCTCATGCACATCATTTGCCTGAGTGGTTTTATTTAGTGGGTCACTGCAGCAGTGGATGTACTTCGTCCTCTGGAGTCAGATTCATTCTCTCTCTCTCTCTCTCTCTCTCTCTCTCTTTCTCTCTCACATTCTCTCTCTGATCAATTCAGCAGGCTTTAAGGTGACCTTTGTGGAGGAATGTTGGTGTATTTGGCCCTCTGCATTTATTCAGTCATCAAAAAGGTGGTTCAATATAGCAGACATTTGCTCAATAGACCTTCTTTGCATTGCACAGACTGTATTTTACAGGGCAATCTGAGACTGTGGCTTTCTTTATGAAATATCTTTATGGATTTCTTCCTTGTCAGGTTGGAGTCTAAAAATTCAGCCCTGATTATTGTTGCACAAAGGTTGACATTGGTTTTCTCAGAACTGTATTTGTGGTTAGTACATATTCTTGAACAAATGGACCTGTGGTTCTCATGCGGGCAATGGAGGTTTGAATCTGGCTTGCAGAATTAGTTTCAATATTAGTTAGCAATATTAGTTTCCTACCCTTTCTCCACACATCATTTACAAAGATGGCAAAAAAGGGTTGACTTGATGGTTAGTGCATTGCGCTCCACAACATGCGCTTTGGTTCTCATGTGGGCAGCAATTTGGCTTGTACATGAGGCTTTAGAGTTATTTGAATTAAAACTGAAATTGCGATGTGGCTAATTAAATATATGCTCTGCATGTATCAAAGTGAAATGCTGCACTGAGTTCCTTTAAACGCGAGCAGTGCATGATTCATTGTTTTCAGTGTCTCGAAGCAGCCAGTTTGCAGCAAATGCTTCTCCATGCAAATTCCATCTCTTCTGTGAGTTTGGGTCACTTAAAAACATGGATTTGGGAACGCAACATGCACCAACCATCTTCTCAAGCTTGTAATAAGCACATGTAAACCAACTTCAACAAAAAGCTTTAGGGACTCCCTGTGTTTTTTGCCAAAATCAAAGCATTACAAAAACATAAATAAATAAAGGTAATTTTACAGTTTTACTGTAAAATACTATTGTCTTCATCATCATCATCATCATCTTTGTATTAGTTTACTTAAATACTCAATGTTTTATTTTATAGTAAAATATTTAAATAGTAATAGTTCTTGTTTATTATTTTTATTTTATAGTCATATTGATAAATAAAAAACAATGTTGTGATGTAAATCTGTCTTTAATCTTAGTTTTTTATGTCTTACTGAGTCGTTTGGAGTGGCCAAGGATGAATGACCACAACTATGGTTATTGATTTTTGAGAAAAAGTCTCTTCAGTCACCACACATGCAGTGATGAAGACAAACTTGACTTGAGTATGAACACGGTTGGTAATCAGTCTCTATATTAAAAAAAAACAGTACTGCCGCAAACTTTTGAAGTCTGACCAGATGCCTCATTCATAGATTTTGATTCTAAATTCAGATTTGATCCTAAATTCCATTGGATTTAATCCTTCGTCAAAAGTGAGAAACAAATATGCATTTATAAAGGCAGAAACTGATGTGAAAGTGTTGCGTATGCCAACCGAAGCGCATGTGTACAAAAATGTTAGAAATTAATTTGTATTGATGATTTCTTGAAAATGGTCATAATATTACAGTGTATGCCTACCACACATATGGTTTCTGAGAGCATGCTTGAATTTTTTTTTGCCCTTTGATGAAGAGTGTTGTACTACTTCTAAATTATATAGAGAAATCTGTGTGCTCTGACACATTGAGCTGTGGTGCTTATGTTCGAATCCTATTCTCCACTGTTGTCTGAATAAATATGGCAAAAAGACCACAATAAAATGAAAACATGTACCATCAAAATGACTTTACATGGATGTCAGTGCTTTTATCCATAAATGGCATTTTCCAGCACCACTTCCAACATATGGCATGCTTTTAGATCTCCTTGTCTCATTTTCAATCCTGATTTGCTTACATATGTATATGTAAATAAAGGCTTGCCGAGTTCAGTAATTGCACTATTACAAATCATTATATTGTGGTTTGTGTGTTAATTTCTTAATCGCCGGTTTCTCAGTGGATTGTGGACTGAAACGCAGACAAGGGACAGATGATAAAAGATGGCAGGGAGCTGTCTAAACACACCAGTCCCTGTCAGCGCAGATGGAGGCTGAATGGCAGACTGAAAGAGGAAAGGGATTTTCTTGGCATTAAAATCTTTCTTTTCTTGGCAGAGCGCTCTCTTTGCCGGTTGTGAAGGTCCAGGGGCGGAAAATTGGCTTCTCAGACTCACAGATGGTCTAAGGCTTGGTCTACATCCACATGCACGCACGCACACACACACACACACACAGAAACCTTGAGTTTTTGGTACACCGTTGAAGTTCTCCCCTCCTTTTTCTCTCCTTTCATTTGCCAGTAAATGTTTGTCAGCTAATCTTGTCATCGAGTGGGTATTACACAAGTGTGTCTGTCAAAATTACGCTTGTACTGTCACGTTAGCCAAACTTACACCACAACATTTTGACCTCTTGAGTATGTGTCTTTGAAAAAGTGTTGACGCTGTCACTGCTTTCTGCATGTGAACATATGGAGAGGAAGCGGAGTATGAATATGCACACACATGCACACGGTGAGCCATTGAAGGCCTTGTCTCAGATTTTAGATGACACCGTGGTACTATGTTGCCTGGCAGATTATTTCTGCACACCTGTACTATCTTTATTAGTATATTTTTCTCAGCAGAGAGACATGTGAGGTCCCAGCTGACACTATTATCAGAGGAGTACTTGAAGTACTTCACTATACTTGAGTAACTGAATACTTTTACTCAATTACATATCTAGGAAAAAAATGAAATGGTACAAAGTGTATGTATTTATGGTAATTGTCCTTAATCTTATTAAGAATAGCTATGTCTTATTGAGGTGAGTCATTTGGACGAGTCCGAGATGAATGACTACAACTATGGTCATTGATTTTTGAGAGAAAGCACCTCTACAGTCACACATATAGTGATAAAGACAATCTTGACTTGAGTGCAAACACAGTTGGTGATCAGTCTCTATTTTCAAGTGTCAACTATAAAATCAGCTTATGTTAATTTCGGGTTTCAGGATATTGGTCTCAACATCTGCTGTGCTCTAGATTCTTACATAATTGAGCAAGTTAGAATTTTTTAATTAAACAATTTAGGAAGTTTATGTACCTAACTTAGTTTAATGAGAAAACCTGTTTTGTCTCTTGATTTCATCATATCTGCATCTAAAATCAGATACTTCGTACTACATTTGATGACAAACGACGTTTGTGGGTGTTAAGCTGTATACAAACCCAACACAACAACAAGAAAAGCTAGTAAAGTTAGTAAAGCTAATAGGCTCAGTAGCTTCTGCAGCACGAACACAAGCATGCAGTCCGCCATTGTTGTTGTTGTTGCTGTAGCTGTTACGTGACGTAGCAGTGTCTGACTAGGGTCGAGATGTGGGGTGATGACATCATTGTTTCACAAAATATACGGATTGGCTGTACACACGAAAACACAAAGGTGTAGTTTTCAGATTTATCCACTCTGGAACCCGGTTTCAAAACATAGAGGTTTTGGGCTCCCAGAACGCCAGATCCGTCTGAACGAAACGCCGATACGATACAAAATTTTCACGTATACAGCTAAATGTTTCTCTGTGTGTGGGGCCTTAGTTTGTAGCTCTG